TCTTGCAATTTCCAAAATCTATCATAAAACTCCTTGTATTCTCAAAATAGTAATAGTATATCTTAAAAAGATACCTTAACTTCAAATGACTATAACTTCATCACTTTAACTCCAAATCTTCTAAAATTTGTACACAAATTGTAATTTAAATCCTAAAATTTATAATCATTTCTTTTGATTTCAAAATTCCTCTTTTGAAGTCGCCAAAATCCTTATTATGGTCGAAGATAGCCTGTTGAATGCCTATTGGGTGTGGCCTTTGACCAATAGAGATAAAGATCTTTATTTTTAGCCTTCATCCATCCATATCTTACTTTTATCCCTCCAAATAAGCTTCTTAGAGGTTTGAATCTTCATCTTTGAGCTCCAATCTTCTCCTTAAATTTTATGCTAAATATTTAAATCCTATATATTTTAAACATTATAATCAACATAGATAAACCTCAAATTAAATTTTTTTACTTCAATTTTTTAAAAATTAAGCTACTAATCATTCTAAAGTACATCAATACTTATAAATAAATCATATATTTTAATTAATTTTTATATACTATAAAAAATTATAATATGACAACAGTTCATAGTTAATTTATATTATAAGTTACTAACATGGACAATATATGGCTAACTTGTAGGCCAAGTTTCAAATCTACCAACCAATTACAAACATGTATAAAGTCAAAGCCGCATCTATGAAGCATCTAAAAAGCTATTCTATAAAATATTATTAGATTTATCTACTTTAATCTACTTCTATCTATTCATGTTATTTAGATAATTATTGGAATAAATATGTATGTTTATAATAATTTGATAAGATGATAATTTAAGATTGAAGTGTTATCATAGATCGAATAAGATTTCATGTTTATTGTATTAAGTATGTTAAAATACATAAAAATACATAAATAAAAATAAATATATATATTCTTTGTATTATATCTTATATATTGATTTACTAGTATTTAGAGTTGTTATTTTAAAGATGAAATATAATTTTAAGTGTATCTTATTTGTAATTTCTTTTTAAGAAGAATTCTTCCACAACTTAAAGACTTATTATTCTTTTTTTTAGTCATATTTGAATTTTTTTAAAAAATTTACAACTTGCCATGTAAAAGGTCATCTATTTTTATTTTTTTATATTTAATTTTATATATTACATGATTTTTTTAGAAAATTAAATAAAATAAAAAAATTTATAATAAGATATTTTTTAAATTAGAAAATAAATAAGAATTATTCTAATTTTTTTGGTATAAAATAAATTTAAAAAATAATTATTTTTCTTGTATTAAAAATATTAAAAATGAGTACATATTTGGAAGCTACTTTTAATTTGTAAAAACTTGTCTTATGCCAAAATCTATGTCTTGATTCTTAAGTTCTTATTCTACATAATTTATATTTTTGTAATAAAAAAATAATAGCAATCTAGAATAATATTATTAAATTATCTTTTTAATCTTATTCTTACATACAAGTAATTGAAAAATTATACATTGTAAATTTAACTATTAAATTTTATTCAATATCATCAATCAAAGCACCAATTTTATTTTTAAAACTAACTTCAATTTACATAGAAATCTATCTCTTTAGATATTTCAACTTAGACTACTTTGTCTTAGGTGATTATAAAAATAAGAAGATATTTATATTTTAAAATATATAAATTTTGTGTCATTTAAAATATGATTAAAAAATTACAATATATTCTTAAAATATTTCTTAAAATCATTTTTTGGTATTTTAAAAATAATATTATATTATTTACATATGAATAAATCATAGATTCAAAAAAACTAAAATAAATTAAAATAAAATTAAGTATAAAAAATTTAATAAGATTCAATCAAAGTCTCAAAATATTGTATATATGCTTTGTATTAAAAGTAAAATTATAAAAGTAACTTAGAAATCATGATAGGTTTTTATAGATTTTATTCAAAATAAACAAAATGAATCATAAATTGTGTCATATTTATCTATATATATATATATATATATATACATTGAACTTTTAAAAATTAATAGTTAATTTGGTTATACACTCAATCAATGAACTTTTAAAAATATAAAGTAGATTGATATACAAAAAAATAGCAATAATAAATGCTTGTTAATTATAAAATAAAGATAAAAAAAATATAGATATAATAGTGTAGATATTTTCTTATTTTCTTACATATACATACTAAAAAACCTTAATTAATTCCACAAAATTTAAAAGAAATTTAATGATAATAGTCTTTAATTTAAGTATATTAAGTTTAATATTTAAATTTCAAATTTTGGTACTGAAAATAAGATAATGGAAACAAATGTGCATATATATATATACATAGGGAGAGAGAGAGTTGTTAAAGCCACATCCCAATTTTGTCAATTTTGTTAATCCCACACCTATCCCTTACTACCTCATGATTCATTATGTATCCATCTATTGACCCCAACCTTATTCTTAGCTTCCGTCTGTTCTTAGCCATTGTTCCCACCATCCTTTGCTACATCATGACTCATTTTGTATCCATCACATGTCCTTGACCCCCTTCCTAGCTTTTGTTCCTTGTTTCCAGCAACTATCTCCACACCTCCCCTCTTGCCACCTCATAATCCATTTTGTATCCATCCCTTGTTCTCAACCATTGTCCTTGCCTCCCTTCTCCTGTCCCAATCCCATCCTACTCCACCTCTGTCATAATAAATATGAATACAAATCAAACTGATTAGAAAAAATCCTAAGCACAAAAATGTAATAAAAATTACTTTAGAAGAATATTAATTTGAGAAAACTGTAGTACATTTTCTAATGTGATTATACATACATGTATGTAAATAAATACTTTAATATATTAGAATGTTATTTTATATTTATACATAAGAATAAAGATAAATTTTATAATAATTTATTATCTTGGAAAAGAACATAAAGAACATATAAACCATATGTTACAAAGCCATGAGGTGGTATTTACTAATTTCATCTAAATTTTTTCTTTCAGAGAATCAATGTTACATTGTGTTATATATTCTTTTGATATAATTGTAACAAGTTTCATATAGGAAATGTAAATGTTGCCACAAAATAATTTACTAATATTTCAATTTAGAATATTTACTAAAAATATGAATTTGATATATGTATGAAAATATATAAGTTAAATTACAAAAAGAACTATTTTAAACTCAATTATAGTTTATACTTGTAGAATCAAATAATTTATAGAATAAAAATAAAAAATTAGTAAGCTAGTAAATTCAAAAACTGTTAAGATTTGCATTCTTATTATTAGAATTAATATATATATATATATATATATATATACATATATAATTATTTTATTTTTAACATACAAAATTATAGATTATTTTTATTTTTCTATACAAAAATTAATTCTTACAGATTTAATTTACAATTCAAATAATTTGAATGTTTTATAATTTTTCATATAACATTTCAATGAAATAAGGTTGTTTAATTTCATTAATATGAATATTATATAAAATTGACGATGGTTTCGAAAAGAATCTATTTAAGATTTTTTTTTTTATATATATTTATAATCATAGATATCAACTACAATGACAAAAACTTATGATATTTTACAATAATATATGATGTATGTAAGTAAATTGAAGTATTTCTGTATTTTTTACATAGATAATTAAACATAATTCTACAATAACTAAAGAAAGCTAAAACACATAATTTATGTAATTATTTGAATAATATTTGATAGTCTAGAGTCTTCAATCTTTATAAAATCAAATATAATAGTAAATATCTTTCTTTACATATAGTATGTGAAACAAATTTATTTTGGGAATCATCTTTGAAACTTAATTAATTGTCTATAAAATCCACTAAAAGCATGGTACTTTGATACAATAGTTTAATAATATTTATTACATCATTAATAGTATTATAAAAAAATAGGATTACTTACAACATGTTATCTTGTTAGATGGAAAAAAATAAAAATAAAAATAAAAAATTCAAAGAGCTTAATTTCAACAATTAAAATTTTAAATTATATTAAAAATGGAGTGAATTTGTGAAATTCATACTTAAAATGAGGGGTGGAGATGAGGTGGAGATGAGATAGAGACAAGGGGTAGAGACAATAGTTGGAAACAGAGGCTAAGAATAGGAGACATGAACTGAGAACATGATTGAATACAAAATGAGTTATAAGATGGCAAGGGGAAAAGAGGTTTTAACAAAATTGGGATGTGATTTTAACAACTCCATAGAGATATATATATATAGTAAAAACTTTATTGAAAAATAAATAAATAATTGTTAAATTTATATGAATAAATTCACTTATAAAAATATACCATAGATATTTAAAATTAAAATTAAAATTACAAAATGTACAAAACTAAAAATACTTTCAGTAAATCCTAAATATTATAACAAAAAGTTAATAATTTACATCTCAATTATTTAGACATTAAAGATAGAATTTATCTAATATTCTATATGGAACTTTAGCTTCGACTATTTAGATATCTGTTTACCCACCTTCTTATTTGATTGTTGAATACATTAGTATAAAAGAATCATCAAAGATTATGATTATTTTTTCTACTTGAGAGAACATTAGTTTATTTGATTTATTACTATTAGTAAACTACTGAAGTTTGACTTCATTTATAAACTACGTCCAAGACATAGCAGTTCAACCTACTTGTAACTTCCTTACCTGCATTTCAACATTTGAAGTTTGCAGAGGTATAATTCAAATGGAATAGTTGATTCGAATAAATCAACTCTCCATTTGTAAGCATCGCCTCTTCAACCTCGAATGGTCATATTCCTCACCACTTGCTCACAGTACTAACAATTCAATATTTCAAAAAACTTTAAATGAAAAAAAGCGAACTATTGCTCAATGCTTCCGTAACTACCGTCACAATGATGGAAAAATTCATCTCAAACTCTTCATTCCATCAGTCTATCAAGTTAAGAATTTATCGTCCACTGGAAGTTCTTACATATATCAATTGGGTGGGATATTTAAGTCATAACCCAGCTAGATTCCTACATTCATATTCCTTCCATAAGTAAAAATACACAAACATTTATTAATTATACACTTCTATCCCTCTCAATATATCATGACATTCAAGGATCAATTGCTTGAAACTCATGGTTCGGGAAACCAACCCTTGGTATCTAATCAAGAGTTTTCAACTACCTTCACTCTGAAAGTTGAGCAAACTGGAACAATACTAGAAGGCAATCTACTCCAAGATATTGAATGCTACAATTCAGTGGCTCTACATGACCTTCGAATTGAAGTTATCTAAACATAATGTAGTCAAGAGATTCTCACATGAGTGGAGCGCCATCGTGGTTCTATAGACGTTCACAAGCTACTCAATGTTAGCAAGTCTACCATCGTTGTGAATAGTAGCAAGTGCAAGGGTAGCACACTCACAGCTGCTGGAAAAACCAAGTAAGCGTGTTTTAACAAGTCCTGTTAAATCAGGAGATTTCTCATGAACAGGACTCAGTATTCGAGCTAAAGGAACTGCTTTCGAGCTCCAGCAGCTGGAATGCCTTGATGACATGCAAGACATTTCAGCCGGAATGCAATCTCAAATTAGTCTTTGAGGATTTACGTGGAGTACAGTACCAGCTACAGTAGTTAAGGAGACCAGTTCCTTACGCGTAAGAGTGTCCGTCTTCCACCTCAAATTGCAGTGGACGGATCATGTTAATGGAATTAGGACCAATAGAAGATCGAATATCCACGAATTGCATTGTGGATTTAGCGAAAAATGGCAAATATCTACAACGAAAGAATGTGAGGCTCATGAGGCTCGGGACGGCAGCCGAACTGAGGTCGAGAGGGGTTTTGTGACGACAAAAACCCTGCTACGTACCACGGCTTGGTTGATGAGGAAGCCCGGCACAACCATGAAATCTACGCGTGAAATATCCGAGCTGGGCATGTCCTCGTCGTCGTCGGATTCTGACTCCTGGAAAATGACAGATTCCATATACTTCTCCACGAACTTCTCAGATTGCGCAACACGAAAAATGCGAGCCACGGGGTTGAAGGAGAAGGCAAGCTTGTGTACCTGCCAGACACACACCGCAAGCTGGACGAACGTAGTGCCGAGCTTGGCAGCGAGATAGGTGGTGACCTCAGTAGAGGTGTCCTCGGAGGAGAAGGAATTCTCGAAAGCGTGATCGACCATCTCCTTCACCATACTTGCAATTTCGGGAATGGTGTCACTTAAGTCTTCCAGCTTCATGCGACAAAAAAGAGTGAAGAGGGTGTCTCCCGAGTGCACGTACTGCTCCGTGTTCTCCATGACGCTGAGTTGCTGATAATGACGGTAATTTTCAGCTCTCTGCTTCTCCAGGTCCATAAATGCAGAGGAGCTCTCTTCAAGATAAAAGCATTCATTCTCGAAGCCTTGGAATAATAACTTACAAGTGATGGCCTCCAAGACATACTTCAGGGGAGCTGCTTTGCCAAGAGACACAGAGCGGACAAAATTGTTGCGTGCTACTGCCATGCCGTCAATTTTCCCCTGCTCCATCGCCTTCATCAAAAGCCTTGAAAAGATTCCAGCGATCTCGTGGACGCGTTGCAGAGTCTTCTCGAGAAGATGAGGGGTAGCTTGCGTACCAAGAGAAGAGTCTCTTCCGAAGTGCTCCGTGGGTAAGCTCCTGACGCTCATCCCCGAGTCCCTGCTCTTTGGGTCTCCGATGTGCTGCTTCAGCTCTTCAAGTTGGATGTCAGCTTGTCGCAACCTATCGTTCAATTTTGACTTAGTTTCCCACTCTTCGCGCAACCGTGCTCTTAGGTTCTGCATCTCTACTTCATGGGATTCTATTTTCTCTTCCAAAGTAGAGCAATGCAGTTTGAGCTGTTCGTGTTCATCAGATTCTGTGCTCCGCACTCGCTCCTGCAGAGCTGCGAGCTCTTGCTCAAGTTGCTCCACATACACAATCAACTCGTCCATTTGACTAATTTTCTCCTCTACTTCCTCACTTAGTTTCAAAGTCTTCTCCTGCTCTCCGCGCAGCTGATTCTGAAGACCCTGCGCCTCAAGCTCTTTGGCTGCCACTAGTTGCTCTTGTTTTGAGGCCTGCTGTGAGAGATCTTGTATCCGTTGTGTCTGCTCCTTGACCTGCTTCATCATCTGCTGTTTCTTGCTCTCCAATTGCCCATTAGCTGTCGTCAATTCTAAAACCTTGGAGTTCAACTGATCCATAGCAACCGCCTGTGCCTCCCTCTGTTGCTCATGCTCTACCCTCCAAGCCTTCAATTGCTGGTTCTCACGTTTAGCGTCTTGTAAACTGCTTTGAAGCTCCTTGATCTTCCCATCTTTCGCCGCACAGTCGCTTTGCATTTTCTCAAGGCGCTGGAAGAGTCCTCTCAACTCCTGCTCCTTGTCTTTCATATTCACATGGAGCGCGCCTTCGTTTGCTTCCAAATCCTTAACCCGGCCCTCCATTACAAACAGACTCTTCCTAACCTCTTTAAAGTCATTCTCCATTTCGATGATGAATTTCTTCTTCCCATTGAGACCCTTCTCGAGACTCTGAATGCGAGCCTCTCTATCCGCCAAAGCTGCCTCCAACTCCTTGACCTCTTTCCTTGCAGCGGTTAGTTGAGGATCGTAAAGCGCCACTTGGTGGGGTTCATACAGTGTCAGAGCATTATCACCCTTCTCCTTGATATCTCGGCTTCCATAGGTCGCAGATGGCAAACTGTAAGACCGGCTAGAATACTCAGAGTCGTGTCCATTATAGTAGGCCGGAGATCCTTGCATCCTCTGTGACTCACGAACGTTCCCAGGAGAAAAGCCGTTCTCCGCTCGTGATTTGCCTCCGGGAGGGTTTGCCTCACGACCCATCCATGAACCAATATACGACGTGATTGAAGAACCCCAACCGCCAGTGGGTCCGGGCGATTCATCCATAAGAGGGGCTAAGCCTCTACTGCCCGGTGGGAAGCCATCACCTCGGTCATGTTGCGTTATGTAGTTTGAAACATAACTTCCACCTCGCTCATTTTGCATGGAATAATTTGATGGGTAATCGTCTCCTCTCCCATTTGGCATAAAACCCATTTGCGAGAAATGATACCCTCGGCCATTTTCCCGCGACGGAAGTCGGTCCCTGTCATCATCCGGTACTGGCTGTTTAATTCCGAAGCCACCTCTTCGATCATCTTCAGCTGCGAACTTAGGCAGATAGCTATCCCTTCGGTCATCTTCAGCTGTGTACTTTGGTGGGTAGCTATCCCTTCGGTCCTCTCTAGCTGTGTACTTAGGTGGGTAGCTATTCCTTCGATCATCTTCAGCTGTGTACTTAGGAGGGAAGCTATCCCTTTGTTCGTCTTGCATTGGGTATCTTGGTGCAAAGCCGTCTCCTCGGCCATCTCGAGGTCCATAACTTCTGGGGAAGTAATGATCATCATGCATGGAATACATTATTCACAAACTTATTCAGCGGCGCAGAAACTTGCACATTCTAATTCTTTCGGCACCTATGTACCCATATGTTCGCTGATGTAGTCACCTCAATCTGTTGTCACGAAACCAATACACGGGGTTCAATAACGACTGGTGTGCAGCAAATGACAGAGAGGGAAAGAAGGTGGTTTGAAAGAGAAGCGCCCTCTACAGACTGTGATCGTCAATCGGAAGCTCATCCTAGAATCGTAGCTCATCGGCGGAGAAGACACTAACTTGGTCACGACCAGATTATCTTAGCATGTCGATTCTCCCACGAAACCACGCGAACAGGTGGAATGTATAATATGGTGCAGAAATTCCAAAGAATGAAGAAGTGACGCACCTCACCAACACAAAATCCCTAATCCAGCCACTTCTACGATAACCAACTGGATCACTAAACAGCTGGACACTTGATAAGGACCAAAAGCCAACCAACATCTTAAAGCTCTCCACGAGCTCTTTGGTTCCGGAAGAACGCAATAAGATCCGCCCCTCTTCCGCCTACAATAATACTATGGAAACGAAATCCATCACTCAATCTTTACTGGCAATAATCCCTACTGCACACAGCAACTGTACTAATCGCTTATCTGCGTACAGTCTTCTACCTTCGAACTCCCGAGAAGCCTCCGGCGGCTGCTACTGCAACCCTAGGCGTCGGAAGCGGTGAAATCATGAAGGACGCCCCGCAATTATGGAAGGTTGAGGAGGGCAGCTGTCTAGCAAGGGGATGATTAACTGTAAGTCTCTTTCCAGCAGTGAATAAACAACCTCCGAGCGTGCTATAGTACCAAAAAAAATAAAAACAAAAACAAAACAAAACAAAACAAAGAGACAAGGTTACGTACACCGCACCGGCAAGGAGCCCACCACGCAGTGTGATCAGATTTCGGTGTCAGAAACTCGAATAGCTCCAAACCTGTCCGCAAATCGACACAAAACTCCACCATTGCAGCCACCCAATTCCCCAAACCGCGAGAAAAAAATCCACCCACTCCCTTCGTGACATGCCACAACCTCCCCACACTCTCTCTCCACTCCAGATCAATCGTCGCCACTTCCGAAATAAATGTCACAACGCCGGGCCAAAGTTTGGTTAAGTACAAGGAGAGTCAAACACCACCCACCCTCAGCTAGCTACAGCACTAGGCTAGAAACCGAGAACGAATGATTCAAGCATGCATCAAGCCAGCAGCATGTGGTGGTATTCCCAAAGGGCTACTGTAGATGCACCCGATGTCGACAAATGTACCCACTGCGCAAGTCAAGCCCTGCGTGATTGAGGTTGTGCAGAAAAGGCGCCGGCAAAGCGGAAGGACAAAGCCTGGCTGGCAGGATTATGGAGGTATTGGAGCTACTGAAGGGAGATTATGGCGACTCCACCACCTTTTCGCCTTTCTTCTTAGGCCCCAGCATGGCATTCACGTACTCCAACAAGGAAATGGTGGGTGCTGCTCCTGCTCCTCCTGCTGCAGGTTTTCCCAGCAAGCCCGGTAACTGATCGCTTGCAGATTCGCATCGCGCCGCTTTGAAGTGCATGGAAAAGTCACAGCCTTTCCTTCTTCTTCTTCTTCTTCTTCTTTTTCTTCTTCTACAGCTACTGCTCCTGCTGCTGCTTTCTGTTGCTGTTGCTGTTGCTACTGTTGAAGCTCCCTGCTGTTGTTTGCTCAATTGAGAGCGAATGAGCAAAAGAGTGAGTGAGTAAGTGTTTTCGTGGTACCTTCGATTCATTCCTGAATTGTGCTCGCCCCCACTTGGCCATGCACGTTGCCGCTCCTTTCACTCTCCGATTCCTCCCTTGCCCCCCGGAATTATTATTCGTCTCTGGATGCATGAATGAAATGGATGGATGAGTACATGGATGGGTGGATGGATGAGTACATGGATGGGTGGATGGATGGATGAGTACATGGATGGGTGGATGGATGGATGAGTGCATGGATGGGTGGATGGATGGATGAGTACATGGATGGGTGGATGGATGAGTATATGGATGGGTGGATGGATGGATGAGTACATGGATGGGTGGATGGATGGATGAGTACATGGATGGGTGGATGGATGAGTACATGGATGGATGAGTACATGGATGGGTGGATGGATGAGTACATGGATGGGTGGATGGATGAGTACATAGATGGATGAGTACATGGATGGGTGGATGGATGAGTACATGGATGGGTGGATGGATGAGTATATGGATGGGTGGATGGATGAGTACATGGATGAGTACATGGATGGGTGGATGGATGAGTACATGGATGGGTGGATGGATAGATGGGTGCATACATGTATGGATGGATGGGTGCGTACATGTATGGATGGATGGATGCATACATGTATGGATGGATGGGTACATATATGTATGGATGGATGGATGCATACATGTATGGATGGATGGGTGCATACATGTATGAATGGATGGGTATGTACATGTATGGATGGATGGGTGCGTACATGTATGGATGGATAGGTGCATATATGGATGGATGGATGGGTGCATACATGTATGGATGGATAGGTGCGTACATGTATGGATAGATGGGTGTGTATATTTATGGATGGATGGGTACGTACATGTATGGATGGATGGGTGTGTACATGTATGGATGGATAGGTGTGTACATGTATGGATGGATGGGTGCATATATTTATGGATGGATGGGTACGTACATGTATAGATGGATGGGTACGTACATGTATGGATGGATGAGTACGTACATGTATGGATGGATGGGTGTGTACATATATGGATGGATGGATACGTACATATATGAATGGATGGGTACGTACATGTATGGATGGATGGGTACGTACATGTATGGATGGATGGGTACATATATGTATGGATGGATGGGTACGTACATGTATGGATGGATGGGTGTGTACATGTATGGATGGATAGGTGTGTACATGTATGGATGGATGGGTGCATATATTTATGGATGGATGGGTGCATATATGTATGGATGGATGGGTACATACATGTATGGATGGATGGGTACGTACATGTATAGATGGATGGGTACGTACATGTATGGATGGATGGGTACGTACATGTATGGATGGATGAGTACGTACATGTATGGATGGATGGGTGTGTACATATATGGATGGATGGATACGTACATATATGAATGGATGGGTACGTACATGTATGGATGGATGGGTACGTACATGTATGGATGGATGGGTACATATATGTATGGATGGATGGATACGTACATGTATGGATGGATGAGTGCATACATGTATAGATGAATGGGTGCATACATGTATGGATGGATGGGTGTGTACATGTATGGATGGATGGGTGTGTATATATATGGATGGATGGATACATACATATATGGATGGATGGGTACGTATATGTATGGATGGATGGGTGTGTACATTTATGGATGGATGGATGCGTACATTTATGGATGGATGGGTGCGTACATGTATGGATGGATGGGTGCGTACATGTATGGATGGATGGGTGCATACATGTATGGATGGATGGATACATATATGTATGGATGGATGGATACATATATGTATGGATGGATGGGTACGTACATGTATGGATGGATGGATACATATATGTATGGATGGATGGATACATATATGTATGGATGGATGGATACATATATGTATGGATGGATGGATACATATATGTATGGATGGATGGATACGTACATGTATGGATGGATGGATGCGTACATGTATGGATGGATGGGTGCATATATGTACGGATGGATGGGTGCATATATGTACGGATGGATGGGTGCATACATGTATGGATGGATAGGTGTGTGTGTATATATGTTAAGCAGTGAGTGGGCATCTTATGTGTTTCTGGGCATTAGATACAATTAGAGTCACTTAATCATTTCTGATCTCTTTGTTTTAGGAATCATTTATTTGCATTGAAACCCACAATCTTCAAGGATTTAATTTTTATATAACACATCATTATAAACGACACAATGCTTTCTGCATTTGGTGGCTCGGGGAGCTATGATTTCTATGTGCTTAGAAGGTATTTAACCGGTAATGTAACAACTTATAATCATTAAATTCTGACTAATCAAGCTTACTATCCATGCCTTAACATGTATGATCTATAAAAATTGACCTTCATGCGGCTAGTTTGATTAATCTGTTTCAAATAACTATAGTTATTTACTTTTGAAGATGACAAATGTGAAGATAAGATGAATCTTCATTCACTGATTAGAAATAGGATGTACGTACAGTCTTTGTGAAAGTTTTTGTTTTATTACCTTCCACGATCTGAAGTAGGACATCTTCCGCAAAAGCCTCAAATGTGTCTTGACTAACATCTTGTCGATTATCCAAGAAGGAACCTCAATAGTGTGCACTACTAGTCTTCAACTTGCATCTCATATAAAGTACGGAGCAACCAAGGACCTCGTTTGAGCTTGAAATCCCATGCTTCTAGTTGGAGTTGGCCAAAGTATACCAAAGAATAGTCCTATTTTTCTTAGGATGATAGAGTTATCTCATTGAAATAATTCTCTATGTTTTCTACTTTAAGTCTATCATTGATAAAATAATAATGGTTTGTATTCTTGTGAGGAATTCAAGTTGTGGAATGCATTTTCATTTTAGTTGGATAACGTTCATGTAAAAGAAAGTTTCCTTAAGTCATGACAAATAGAAAACTTGTCTTGACTAGGTCACTTAAATCTTCCCTTCAATGTCAGAGAACAACATATACCATTGTTATACTCAATTTATCCAAAGGCGGGAAGAATTCCTCAGCTAATGATGTTGCCGATTGCTCATAAAGATACAAAGTTCACTGTTTCAGATTTTAATCTTCTTGGGAGAATTTCGGAAGTCATTTTTTGAATTTTGTGAGTAAACATCGAGCTTCCAGACAAATTGATGGCAAAATGGAACAAGTCAACCAAATACTAATGAACAATACTTAAGATGTATCATCAACCTCCAACAATTGAATATCTTGTCTCTAGCAGAATTTGTCTATAATAACATGATTCATGCATCTATGCAACAAATTCCATTTTATTCCAATCATGGTTGCCATCCAAAATTGAACCTGTTATATGTTCGTAGATTATAAAATCTAATGGCATATGACTTTGCAAGTCAAATAGTTCATATTCAAGCTACTTTGAAGCTTTAATTAGAAGAAGTTTAAAAATATTTAATTGATATATAAAAGAAGGAACAACTATTATTTCAAGTTAGTGACAAATTATGGTTGATGTATTATAATATAAAGATTAATTGACTATTTGACAAATTGGAGTACCAAAGTTTATGACTATTTTTTAATTTAAAACCAAATTAATTTTGTTATTTTTCAATAAGAATTATTAATATCTATGAAGGTACATTATATTTTCTACATCTCTCTTTCAGAACCTTATAAAGAATCAAGCATATCAAGAAAAGTACAACTTCTATTACCTTGTGTTGAAGAAGATAACTATAAAGAATTCGAGGTAAAAGAAATAATTGATTTAAGGCTAAAGTAAGGACAACTCAAATGCTTTGCACATTGGAGATATTACAACATTAATAAGTATACATAAGGGCTAGCTTCAAATTTTGTGAATGTACTATAAAAGATAGAAGGCTTTCATCGACAACATCTTTCTAACTTAAAGTGGCAATACATGTTAGATAACACTCTTATTTGGCATACCTAAATATGGTGTATCTTATACTTTGTAAAAAATTTGTTTAAAGAAAGGAAACAATTCTAAAAAGTTTAAGAATTCAATCTTCATACAAAACTAATAAATTATAAAATATTTCTATTCTATTTTTAAATTATAATATATTTAAAATTTAACTTATATAGTTAGATATGGATAGTCAAATAGACAATATCATACGACTTAGTCCATTTCAATCAAGTATTTTATATTGTTGATCTTCAGAAGAAGAATTGCATGAATAATGAAGATGTCAAAGATTACTTAGAAATTGCTTTGTAGCAATCAACATAAAAGCAAAACTTATCCATGAACAATATTCTAAAGTAGTTTTTAAAAGATAGATTTTACTACAAAGATACAAAAGTTTAAACATAGTCTATGGTAGAAGACATTGGTTTCTATAGTTGGTTGTAAGAACTGATGAAATAGATAAATATGTAAATTAAAAAAGAAAGAAATAAATACGTATATTAAAAAAAAAAAAAAAAAAAAAAAAAAAAAAACCAAAACCAATTGAAAAAGACAAGACTAATTTTTTAAGACTATAAACAAAAAAATTAATACATATTTTTAAATTCAAATTAAAGATCAATATTATTCTACAAATAAAAAAATAAAAGATTATCTTTTTGATGCTAAAAATAATAACTTAAGATAAAACATATTAAAATATTTTTTCTAGTAATCAAGAAGGTACTATTTGTATGTTGATTGCATTGGCTATTCAAAAAAATTAGAAACTTTATTATTTGGAAATCAAGACAATTTTTTTTCTTAGACAAATTCTAAGATGAGATCTACATTGATCAATTTTTATAGGCTTAGTTAAGTAAGT